TGTGATAAAGCAGATTTTTGAGATTACATTTCAGAGCAAGTGGCTATTTATGCAACTAAATTCATGTCTGATTCCAAACAACAATCAATACTTCACTTTATGATTTATATTTACAAATATGGTCCAGGAACTTTTCTTGCAATGACCACCACAGTGAAGTAAGCTCTTTAGACTCTTTAGGTATGACATGAATCAATGAGTACAAATTCAACACATATTAGAATTGTTACCAAATAAATGACAGGTGAATGGGAATGTTTAAAAGAGGTGGTAGGAAGCTATTTATTGTACCAACCATCCATTTGGGAATTAGCTTTTCTAATTTAAAACCTTCCCAATATATGAGTGTACAGATGCATCTTATATAAAAATGACCCGGTTTATACTTGATTCATATATAATAAATTCTCTCACTCTAAAACTGTATAAATGTGATTCATCCCTGAGTTTGCAAATTTCTATGTACTTCCTTGAGAACAAGTGCTACTGAACCAAATGAGGAACATATCTGAGCAAACATCTATTGGATGAAACAGCAGCAGCAGAGGCCCTGGCATTTGTGTGGTGCAATTTCCCCTTCTGCTCATAAAAGAGACATTCTATTCATGATTAACTACAGTAATGTATATATCAATAACATAATGAACTTTCCCCCACAGGACAACTGTAATAAGGAAACAGGATGACTATTTAAAGTATATTAGAGCTTTGTAACATGAAAAGATTACACATCTATGACTATTGTGAACTATAAAAATTCAAATATATTTTAATGCAATTCTATCTTGACATTTCTTTCATTACCTGAAATTATTAACATCTGTAATTTTTTGTAAAAATATAATGAAGTTAAGCATTTTTGCTTAACTGTATAATAAGACAATATTCAATTCTCACAGATAACTCAAATCTATCATGCAAAAATCATAATTCTATTTAATTACATGGTAGTCCTAAAATGGGAAAAAACATGTACCTAGTTTTGGGCATCATTAAGAACACTAAATCTTGGCAAAGAGTGTATCAATAAAATCAGTCAATAGAACCATTACCCAAGTTCTCATTTTAGTTCATTACCATTAAATTTTAATGATGTAAACAAGAACATACATAAAAATCTTTCTGGAATAACACGCTACTAACAATGATCTCTGTCCTCTCCTCCATCTTTATGTCGTTAAAAAGTATTGTGCAAACATGGGAGACTCTGAAGACTTGCATAACTACATAATATTTCAGAGCTGTTCTCCTTAAGCAAAGAAAATCCCCTAATAAATGACTGATCATGATAGGAGGCATAGAATATTGTAAGTATCTGGAAGAAAAGGGAAAGCAGAATAAAATATATTGAGGAAAAAGGTGATTGACAGACTACAAATATCAAGGTATGGTTTCTTTGTTCAATTAATTAAATGTTATAGTGAATTGAAAGGGTAATTAGAGGAACTATTTTATAATCTTGTAACCATACCACACATTCTTATTACTAGTTATTCCATTAGAAGGGAAAGAATGGGCTGTTACGTGCCACCTTGAATTCCTGGAGAAGAGGCAAGACATAAATCTAATGAAAAAATAACTATAAGAAACAAAAATAGTCTTGTATCAAGTTTCCTTGCTATTTTAAAGAAATGAGTTGAGCATTAATATATAACATTTAACATTTCAATATACAATCCAGTTGATCATTCAGTAAAGCTAACCATTTTTTAAAATCAATTAGGATTCAGACAACAATATTTGTACAATTGATATTTTAAAAAAATACTTACAGAAGTTTCACAATTCCTTTTATGTAGTCACTATGCTTACAGCTAAACTATGCCATTAGCTAAGTTTCTTTGACATGTGGTCAAAATAGCTGCTCTGTCTCAAAATAAATTTGCTTATTTGGCAAAAAAAAGTTTTAGCTGCTAAATAATGGTATTCTATGCAATAAATAATTTCCTACTGAAATCTGAGTTACTCATTCACCCTTTTTTGGTTTTCAATATTATGACACATGGAATAAGCTTGTGCTGCAAAGTATTTTTCTTTTATTAATGTCAGACATAAACTGGTCTATTCATGAATTTCACTCAATATTTTCCCTTTCCTTTTCTCCAGCCTCTCTGTTATGAGCTGTGTGATGCTAGCTTTTAATGTTCAGTCTATTATGATTTTCTGTTGATCTCTGTTAAGATCTTCTCCAATCTTCCTCTTGGGATTTAGAGGTGCTTTTTTTAAAAAGTGGACCTAAAAATAAATTTGGAATGTTTTACATGTACACTCTATGTCCTTGGCACAGCATATATCAAATTGGACCTTCAGAAAGAATAGCCAATCTTATGTTCTCATGGAAAAAATGTAACTATGGGTCATTCAGAGTTAACACTAACTTGTGTTACTATATTGCTTAAAGAAAATAGCTATATAGATATAAACAGCTGAAACAGTTTATTACAAAATTAAATGTTTTGTTAAATACTGTATATTAACTCCAGTATGGCAAATGAAATGTACTTGAATTTACCATAAATATTTCAAAGCTTCCATAACTTCGAAGTTCATCTGTTTATCTTTTATACAAAGCTCCCCCAGAATGGGGGGGAGGGGGATATTTCTTATTGTGAAGGGTCTTTGGTGGTCTCTGATCTTAGATGTTTTCTTGCAGACATTTCATCATCCAATTAGAGAACATCATCAGTGTTAGGCACTGATGATATTATCTAGTTGGGTAATGAAATGTCTGCAGGAGAACAACAAAGATCAGAGAGCACCAAAGACCCTACAGTATAACCATGAGCTATAAATACTCTTCTGTTGATACTTCTTGTATTATTACAAATTTGAACATATTTGACACTTATCAAAATTATATCCTTATACAATAAACAATCAGAGCAGTGTCCACAGCAAAGTGTGGATTCCAAAATGATGCCATGTACACTATATCATCACACAACTGCTATAACATATTTCCATCCTTGCATCGGATGCAAGTATGCAAGTCATAGCATTTGTGCTATCACATTGTAACTTGTGTGTCGTCATTTTCTCTCTCGCATCCCTACAGGTACCCAGAACCACAAGCATTCTATTCCATATTCAGAATGGATTACTTTGAACATCAAAGAAACTAAAAAGGAGAGAGAGAAAGTAACACATCAACAATCAAAAACCATCCTGATAGTTTAAAAACAATATGTTAATTCTGCAAATAGGAACTACAGTACAGTATCAGGTCTATTCATATTTCCTCCAATATGTATTTTCCTTGGGTCACAGACCCAGAGTTTTTACTTTTTTTAGAAAAAAAAAGTTATTTCCATTTAACAGGGTCTTTGGAAATGCTTTGATCTACAGTCTTTTAAAAAGTTTTTTTTTAACAACTTTTTTTTTAGGCTTTTTTTTTTTTTACACCTCTTCCTCGATTAGGTCTCATTCACACCTACAGTAGTTTCGATGAGCGCCTACCTTTGGTTACAATCATTCCCTGGAGAGCTTCTCGCCGCCCGCCGTCTTTCCCTCGCATCGGTTGTTAAACTCAAGTTACCAATGTGGCTTCTCTCTCCTGACGTGTCCCCAGGCTCGGCACGCTTTTTGCCAGACGCCAACGCTCCCTAAGGAAAGAGATTCTTCTCACCCATCTGCAGCCGCCTCCCGAGTGGACGAGCCCGGCCAGCCTCCCCCGTCCGGCCACAGGAAAAGGAGGCAATCAAGAGCTCCGGCAACTCGGGGAAACTGACCGGCCTGCAGGGAGTCGCTGCTGGGGGAAAGCAGGCGGCACAGGGCGGGGTTCTGATCGGGCTGCCACCGCGTTGGGATCGGAATTCGCCCCTCCGCCTCTGCCTCCGCCTCTCCCGGGGAAACCCGCACCCTCCCTTCGGCCAGGAGGAGGAGTTGGTGGCGGGGCCACCTTCGTCCTCTCCCCCTTCCCCGCTTGGATGGCCATTTAGGGCCGCCTAATCGGCCCCGGAGCCATCGAACGGCGGCGGCCAAAGCGGCCGAGCTGTGAAGTTGTTTTCTCAGACTGAAAGAGAAGCTGTCGGTGGGGTTTTTTTCCCCCCTTCCTCCCGGCGCGACCCCCTTCTCTGCAGCCACTCACACGGCCGCGCTCCGGAGCTCTCCTGTCACAACTGCGCTCCGTGGGCCTAAAGCGCCGTGGGTGCTGCACATCTTTTTAAAATTTCAATTATCCTCAACCGGAAGTTGAGGGAATGGCTTAATTTTTTTTTTTTGACAGTACTGTAGTGAAGCTGTTTACTTTGGTTTTCAAGCCTTTTAAGTCCCGTGGGTCTCTCGTTTTCCCAGCTGGGCTGAGAAAGCGCTTGTGCTTCAATGCGCTGTTGGAAACCGGCCCAGTTTTTAGCTGAAAGGCAAGTCATTCCACCACCCTGCTTGAATTTCTCTTCAAACCTGTATCCCGTCCACCAGACTCACCAATGTCATTCCTGTTATGTGAGTTCCTGTGATGAGTTCATAGATCATAAATTCATAAAACTCTACACATGACTCAGCATATTGTGCAAAGAGCCACGGCATTTGAGGAGGGAATTATTACCCAGCAGAAAATGTCTCCATCCTTTAACACAATATGACCGAGCCTCTGTTCACAAAATGTGTTTATTTCATTTGCACGCCCTGGATGTGCAGATTCTGTCTCAAACCAGCCTCAAATAAAATCTGTGTCTCCAGACATATGGGTTATAACTAGCATCTTGAATTATATTTGGAAAAGAATCAGTAACCATTTCAATGCTTTTAACAGTGGTGTACCATTGCTATAATAGGTGTGACAGGTTCTGTGTGAGCCAAAGATTTAAGACAGCCTATATAGGATGAATTGTAGTAGTCCAAATGACAGGTGACAAGTGTATGAGTTACACTGAATGCCTCTAATTTCAGAAAAGGCAGCAACTGTCGAGAGCTGGTTAAAGGGTCTCTTTGTCACAGCCGCCACCACTTTTCCAGTACGATCTGTGACCTCCAGAATGATCCAAAGAGCAATCAAGCAGTGCAACTTTTAAAAATCTGAACTTTATTCACATAAATCCTGGTCTCTTTTGTAGCATGAGTCAATTTTACACTTGGCAGGGAGGCAATGTGAGAATCATATTTTATTTCAATTCACTCAATTATGATTCTTGATGAACGTATCTTTTCTTTTATGTACATTGAGAGCATATGCACCAAGACAAATTCCTTGCGTGTTCAATCACACTTGGCCAATAAAGAATTCTATTCTATTCTTTCATTTGAAAGTCAAGAACTACAGAAGTTATACCAGTGTACTGAAGACATTAACAAAAGAGACAGAGGTGGAATTTAGGCCCATATTAGGAAGATAAGTTAATCATGCTACAATCCAGCATCTATAGATACCATAATCCTGCCCAAAGTCCTTCCAAAAATCTCCAGAATTTAAAAGTGTTTATTAAGAATTATAATTGCAAAGATAAAGATACAAAAAATATAGAAGAAAAAGAAAAGGTGCAGAAAATAGAAAAAAATAATGTAGTAATGAAAAAGAAATATATAAAGAAGTGACTCACAAATATAAACAATTTTAGTAATTTATCACCTCTTAAAAGACAATAAATTATCTTCTCTATGGGAAGGGAAAAATGAATTAAACATGGGAATTAGATAGGCAATTAAATAAGTAATTTAATTAAATATGGGAACATTTAAGTGTTCTTTAATTTTAATATTTAATAAATCCCTAAAGCCTTGTCATTTCAGTCCTGATCAGCAGAAATCCATTAAGGATTACCAGAAATAATAAAGTATTTATTTTAACATTAATAAACATTAAATAAACCAACTTTATATTCCTTGCTTTTACTTTTAACAATCTTAATCGTCAAATAATGTTTTAGAATATGAGTTCTTTTCATTTTTTCTTTGTGCTTCCTAACAAAATTCTTCAAAGCTTTAATAAGCCTCTTTTGTAAATCCAATATGGGGAAATTATCCAGGTCATTCTCTTAGTTTGTTATTTATATGTTCCTTTTAATTAATAAGACATCAGCGGGTTTCCTTTGCAGTTTAGTATAGCATCTTTTCCCATATCATTCTTATAGATTATCATTACTAAATATACTTTAAAATAGGTCTCAATGTTGTCAGGCAAAACTTGTTCCTCTTCCAAACAATTTTTAATACTACCGTGTTTCCCTGAAAATAAGACCCTGTCTTATATTTTTTTGAACCCTGAAATAAGCGCTTGGCCTTATTACCATGCGATCAAAAGCCCGATTGGGCTTATTATCAGGGGATGTCTTATTTTGGGGGAAACAGGCTATCTAAGAAGCAGACACTCTTAAAATTAGCTCCTAGGCCTCTGGTTCAAAAATACCTTTTAATATATCCAATATTAAAATATTTTGCTTCATTATGTATTAGTAAGTCACATTTAAGTGTTCTTCTCTTAATTTTAATATTAAGTTCCCTCTAGTTCCCTGTAGTGTCCAACATTCAAAGTCTAATTCCACCATGTTTTTAAGAATTAAAAGAAAGCATTTTCCTATGGTAAGGTTATGATAAATTCCAAAATCTTTTCAAATCCATCCAGACCCTTTGTTTTTTAACTTTACAAAATCAAAATTCTAATTACCCTTTTCCTGTTTATTAAAAAAAAATGTATGTGTGCATATATGCACCTCTGAGATTCCTGGTAAGTGCCTGGACAAGTCCCTGGAGGTTTTTTGGCAAGATTTCAGAAATGGTTTACCATTGCCTTTTTCCTAGAGGGAAAGAGAATGACTGGTCCAGTCATTAAGTTGTCTTTCATACCTAAGACAGGAATAGAACTCATGGTCCCCAGCTTCTAACCCAGGGGTGTCAAACTGACGGCCCGTGGGCTGGATGCATCACGTGTAGGCCACGCCTACCCCAGCTTTGCGAAATGTCACGTGACAGCAATGTGATGCCACGAATTTGACACTCGTTTTCTAGCCTATGCTAGCCTATGCTAGAAAACTAGCATAGAAAGACTATGCAGTCTTCAAAATTGCAAGCATCTGTGCTACTGCCATTCCTTGCCATTTGAGCCTTTCCCCCACATCAGCACAAGAGAGATGCCAATAAAGCAGCAATTTTGACACAGGTGTGGGAGGTGAGGTGTGTTTTTGGAGCTCTGCAGCCACCAGTAAACTGAGAAGTATAGCAGCCTTCTGTTTTTCCTACAGTGGATAGTCCAGAGAAAAATATGTACAAGGACCCAGGAAAAGAAAGCACAATTTAGTAAGATGCAAGAGCTCTACCTACTGGCCATTAACAGAGTAGTAAAAAAGAAGAAATCCCAGAGAAAGAGAATAAAAGAATAGGCTCTGTAAGAAGGAAACACTGATGCACATATGATATAGATCATAGTATATAGATAATAACAGTGTAGAGTAGAAGAAACATTGTGATAGCAATAGAAGATAGGACAGAGGTAATAGGAAGTATGTAGTCTGTGTGTGTGCGTGTACACACACACATATATACATATAGGATAGAGATAATAGGACTGTGTACATAGTGTGTATGTGTATTTGTATATACAGTATGTCACAGAAGTGAGTACACCCCCTCACATTTTGTAAATATTTAAGTATATCTTCTCATGTGACAACACTGGCTACAATGTAAAGTAGTGAGTATACAGCTTGTATAACTGTAAATGTGCCGTCCCCTCAAAATAATGCAACACACAGCCATTAATGTCTAAACTGCTGGCAACGAAAGTGAGTGCACCCCTAAGTGATAATGACCAAATGGGGTCCAAATATGTCATGTGATGCATTAGTGTTACAAGGTCTCAGGTGTCAAGGGGGAGCAGGTGTGTTAAATTTGGTATTATCGCTCTCACTCTCATACTGGTCACTGGAAGTTCAGCATGGCACCTCATGGCAATGAACTCTCTGAGGATCTGAAAAAACAAATTATGCTCTACATAAAGATGGCCTAGGCTATAAGGAGATTGCCAAGACCCTGAAACTGAGATGCAGCACGGTGGCCAAGACCATAAAGCGGTTTAACAGGACAGGTTCCACTCAGAACAGGCCTCGCCATGGTCGACCAAAGAAGTTGAGTGTCCGTGCTGACCGTCATATCCAGAGGTTGGCTTTGGGACATAGATGTATGAGTGCTGCCAGCATTGCTGCAGAGGTTGAAGGGGTGGGGAGTCAGCCTGTCAGTGCTCAGACCATACACCACGGACTGCATCAAATTAGTATGCAGGGCTGTTGTCCCAGAAGGAAACCTCTTCTAAAGATGATGCACAAGAAGCCCGCAAATGGTTTGCTGCAGACAAGCAGACTTAGGACATGGATTCCTGGAACCATGTCCTGTGGTCCAATGAGACCAAGATAAACTTATTTGGTTCAGATGGTGTCAAGTGTGTGTGGCGGCAACCAGGTGAGGAGTAGACAAGTGTGTCTTGCCTACAGTCAAGCATGGTGGTGGGAATGTCATGGTCTGGGGCTGCATGAGTGCTGCTGGCAGTGGGAAGCTACAGTTCATTCAGGGAACCATGAATGCCAACATGTACTGGAGCAGAGCATGATCCCCTCCCTTTGGAGACTGGGCCACAGGGCAGTATTCCAACATGATAACGACCCCAAACACCTCCAAAACAACCACTGCCTTGCTAAAGAAGCTAAGGGTAAAGGTGATGGACTGGTCAAGCATGTCTCCAGACCTAAATCTTATTGAGATTTAGGTCTGGAGACATGACCTATTGAGTATCTGTGGGGCATCCTGAAACGGAAGGTGGATGTGAGCAGGGTCTCTAACATCCATGAGCTCCGTGACATTGTCATGGAGGAGTGGAAGAGGACTCCAGTGGCAACCTGTGAAGCTCTGGTAAACTCTATGCCCAAGAGGGTTAAGGCAATGCTAGAAAATAATAGTGGCCACACAAAATATTGACACTTGGGGCCCCATTTGGACATTATCACTTAGGGGTGTATTCACTTTTGTTGCCAGCAGTTTAGACAATGGCTGTGTGTTGTGTTATTTTGAGGGGACAGCGCATTTACACTGTTCTACAAACTGTATACTCACTACTTTACTTGGCTTTACATTGTAGCCAAGTGTCATTTCTTCAGTGCTGTCACATGAAAAGATATACTTAAATATTTACAAAATGTGAGGGGATGTACTCACTTCTGTGACATACTGTATGTCTATGTATGTGTATAAGTATGAGTTTGGGCAGAAAATAAACTATATAGGTTAAGAGTTGGCTGAAAAGATTCATGGACCAAAACAAAAGTCTCTTCTGTTAAAGGTTTTTGTTTTCCATGATAGAATTATTATTTGTTTTTAAAGTATGATAAAGAAGAAATATGCGATAATGTAGCTAAAAATAAATATATTAATGTGGACCTAAAGTTACTGGTGGACATTTCTATTTTCTTTGCACACAAACATTAGCATCAAGTTAAAGTTATTGTTACCTGTAGCACAGATGTCTCAAAACTCAATTTGATGAGTGAAAGGTCCATTTGTATCTACTCTTAATACTTGTCTGTTTCCATACGTGCCATGCTTCAGGACTACACCAGCTTCTGCACATTTGACATTAGCAACCAGTTCTTTTTCACACTGAATCACAAACTGGGAATAGAGTTCTAGCCCAATTTCTTTTTCAATGTTGGCATGATATTGCATTCTTCTTCCTTTCAATTTACCACCCAGTGTGGCTTGTGGTATTACAAGTATGCTGCCTGGCAAATCCAAAACAGACACATATTTGCCATCTTCGCGTTCACTTAATTTCACATTCAGGATTATATTGACTGCAAAAAATAATAGGGGAAAATATGATTAGCAGGTTCAAACACATCATACATTATCAGTAACACATGTTTAAATTATCTTTATTTATTGAACACATTTTACATTTATGAAACACATTTATTAGTTTTTAGTTTAAAAAAAACTTTAAAAGAACCTGCTTGTGGATTAGTAAAATAATACAGGCCCTGCTCACATAGTCTAAAAAACACGATACAAAGGAAAGAATGGGGAGGGGAAAACAAATGAAAACATTCATGCACCAGTTCTTAATCGTCAAATACTGTATAAATTGAAATGCAAGTACTGTGAAGTTTCCTATACCAGCTCAAATAAAACATTTATCTATATGCTAGTTCCCCCTACTGGCTCCCTGAAGCATTTATTTTTCTACACAAAGTCTTAAAAAAATTGGAGCAAGGAAATGATTATAAACTTCAGCTAGATAACTTAAGAACTGTTCTCTCTAAAAGTTTCCATCCAGCAAACAGTAAGTCCCACGACCCTTTTTCAAACAACTTTCTGTAATATTGAGATGCCATTCTCAATATTTATTTACTAGTTGAAGGTCCAACTAAACTGTTTCTAAGGACTATTTCCTATTTATTTAGTTATAGATTAATTAAATTAATTTATGTAGGAATTGATTTTGTCAAAACAATAATTTAAAAACTATAAAAAGATAAAACAGAATGAGGTACTTGTCTAACTTCTGCAGGCTTGGACATAGTGAAAATTGGACTAACTTAGGTTTGCTGAGTTCTCTGGCACTGGTAGGTAAGTTGTGTGCCTATGATATTAGCTGTCTGCTGTATTTGTGTTGGTAGCACCTACAAAGCTAACCAAAGGGTGCTTCTGGATGGAAAGCACTTGCCGATGATTTAACTGACTCGTATACAATATTGGATATAGGGCCTCAGAAGCAACAAAGCATTTTGGCCTTATCTGTACTTTTAGAAGGGGATGTACAGTAATTGTACAGTACAGCAAAGTAAACTGCTAGAAGTAGTTGATGAGGTAAGAAAATCTCATCCCTGTCCCATCCGTTTCTTAGTTCTGGTTTTAGTATAGTTTTAAAAAACGTAATATGTGTAGTTTTAATGTTTTAATTATTTTTTCTTCTTGTTTTATAACCTGTAAGCAGCTGAGAATCACCTGACAGATGGGCGGCATAACAATTTAATAAATAAACAAATAAAAATAAATAAAATGTTGGTTTTGTGCCACTTCCCCTGTTTATTTCCACAGCAAACCCTAAAAGATTTTTTGTTAAAAAAATTAAATTTACATATAAATGATACTTAGGTATAAACATAAATATAAGAATTGTATTAATGTTTGTTGCCTCTATTAACAAGAACTGGACATACTGTATGTACAATTGCAGTTTAGAAGGAAATGTCTGTTGTGGTTTCAGAACAAACTTTTGTTTGCGCACAAACGTAATAAACATCGTTTTTAATCACTAGTTCTACGAATAATTTATCTGGAAAACCTACCCATTTTGGGAATAATATCTTCACTGGCCCCTTTGAAGAAACATACATAGATAATAAGACCACGTTGGATCTATATAAAATGACAAAGATATATTGAAGTATTGTTATATATTTGATTGATTTGGACAGTATGATTTACTGTTTACTGTAGTTTAAAAACAATATTCTGAGTCCAAATAGTGCAACTGTACAATCCTACAAACTTCAATTAACAGATAAGATTCACCAAGTTAAATGAAGCTTGATTTCTGATTACTAAGTATTCAGGAAAAATAATTTATTTCACAATACAATGATAAAATATTTGTATGTCTGTTTTCAATGTCCGGCATGCTAAAAGCAAGTTTCACCTAAGACACATTTTTAAAACAAAGGAAACACTCTTGAAGAGTTTATGCTAGACTAAATTTGAAGACTTCCCTATTGAAATTTCAAATATTACACATTTAGAAATATATTTTAGTGACAAAGTTCTAAATATTTTTATGTTCCAGATGTCCTGAAGACCTGAATCAAATTTTTACACATATTTTGAAATATATTCAGAATAGACATATGGCTGCTGTTTTTATCAACTGCATAAGAAAAATCGGAAGGTGCCTACATATTTTTGAAAATAAATATAATTCAGTGGGTTTAGTACAAGCTGCAGAAGAGACATGTGCGTTATGTCAATAGATGTCACACTAGTCAAATCAAACGAATTTTCACATATGGTAAAATCCTAAACCATTAAGTATTTTTCTCAGTGCCGGAAATATTTCTAGTAAGTTAGTTTGTGCACCAGAGGGCAGGCATGGTAATAGCCAGGTGAAGTACTTCCGTATTATGAAAAATTCGTTACGGATTACTGCAATAATGCACATTATGAGTTCCTGTTCATTTCAGGAAGGCAGATTACATAAATGTGAAAATCTAATCTGCGGTGTTGTAGAGAGAGATGTGAACCCCGGATCTCTGCGAATCTCGGAGACAGGTCTGTAGGGAAGTTGGGACGAGAGTGATACAAGCATGCAGCAAAACGAAGAGAATTTGGCCATCAACCCGCAAGATTTGCAATGCTAATATTACCTCTACCCATCTGGCTTCGGAATCCGGCTCAGCAGGCTTCACTTGCAGCTGCGCGTGCAGACACTGCTGCAATAGCACACGAGCTAGTGGACTCGGGTTTGGGTCAGCCATAAACGGACGCACACACAAACGAGCAACTCGGAGGAAAGCAAACGCGGCGTCTAGCCTTTTTCTCAAACTCCTCCTCCAGTTCCTCCTCTAAGATGACGCAAACTCCTCTCACTTCTTTTCTTTGTAGTCCATGGCCACTGGCTCTTCGTTGAGAGAGAATTCGTTTCTCTGCCCCCTTCACACAATGTACAAAATTAGAAAGCAGTACAGATCGTCCATTGAAAACAATAGATGAATTTAGAATTATTTCACAAAACTTGAAAACACAAGAGAATCTAACTGGTTCCTCCTGTTTTGTAAATCAGATATATTTATGGAACATTATTAAATGTTCCATTTATTGTTCAATTATTAAATGTCCCATAAATGTTCCATTATTAAAAGAGATTATTTAATCTCTTAAATGTACTGTGACACAGCCAAATGATTGAAAGAGAAAGGAAAACTGAATTTTTTATGGAACTCAAAGGACTGCAATAAATTTGGGGAAATGTGTGAAGCTGGTTCAAAGACAGGTTAAAAAGACAGGAAATACTTGGGATACTAGGAATCTGGATGTCTGGAGTGTCATTGGCTGAAGACAGAACAAAGTATGTACAGTTCAGGTACAATGAGCAGTGGTGCAGGGGTTAGAATGCAGTACCGCAAGCTACTTCTGCTGCCTGCCGGCTGCCTGCAGTTCGATTCTCACTGGCTCAAGGTTGACTCAGCCTTCCATCTTTCTGAGATTGGTAAAAGGATGTTGGGGACAATATGCTGACTCTATAAACTGCTTAGAGAAGGCTGTAAAGCACTGTGAAGTGGTATATAAATCTAAGTGCTATTGCTATAAGGGGAGATGGGTAACTTGATCATGAAATGAAATCAATAGGTTCTCACTTTGTGATTCTCACCATAGTGTGGAGAGGAAGAAACAAAGCTTAGAGATTGGAAAACATACAAAAAGAAGTGTTGGTGTTGGTAGGAGATGCATGTAGATCATGGACTCTGGGATAAGTTAGTTTTGTCCCAGAAGGAAACCAAGCCCAGAAGAAATAGCTAGGGAAAACAAAAGGAAGTGATTAGCTGAGGGAAGCCAAAAAAGAGCTAGAGAGTTCCACTGAGTCACAAGGATTTCTCAGGAATGGAAAAGAAAGAAGGCAAAAGCTGTAGGTTGAGTAAATGGTGACTCCTGCATCAAGTAGCTTAAGAAAGCAAAAGGGAGATAAAGCAAAGGTTCCTTGACAGAAGGCTCCCCCCCCATGTGTTTATTGGCATGCCTACCTCCAGCTTGAGCTCAAGAAGGGTAGGTAAATTCCATCCAGAAAGGGAATCAAACCGGTTGGAGAGGTTTGAGGCCAAGAAGCCATTTGTATGAGGGATGGATGAGCAGATCCCTAGAGTCAGGAGGAGGTGCAAGAGGAACTGATGCAATAGCGGAGGAGAGAAGAATTCTGCTGCAGGAGATATTTGCAACACTGTTGAATTGTATCAGTATCTTTGAATGTAAGAATTTCCAAAAAGGGCCTCTGTGGATTTTGGGTGACAGGGAGAGATTGCATTCTCTAAGCAAGCCTCCCAGCACTTCAGGTTGAGATTCACTCCCATCCAGCTCAATAGAAACTGTTGTGTCAAGTCAGTTGTGCATTTTATCTGTGTAAAGTTGTGTGCAGTATCAGTTGTGCATTATGTGTGTAATTTAGATTGTAGTTGTTTATGATTGTCATCTGATGCAAGTAGTAAAATAAAGCTGTTCTGTTTTTGGTTCTGAAACCAAGAAAAATATATAGCCTGTTCAGAACAAGAAAGGTCATGGGTTATATTAGATGTAGAATGGGGGATGCCCTGTAGAGCACTCTGCTTAATAGGAGGCTGAAAAAAGGATTTTGTTTTCAGATAGGAGTCAGGAAATTGACCCAGACTTTTTTGGGAGCTTCATTTGGGGTATAGTTTTCTCAAACTTTAATCTAGTTACTGTGTGAAAAACAGTGTCATCCAAAGAGCTATGTTTAAATGTCATGTACTTTAGAGGGAAATTTATTGTTTCTGATTCCAATCCAAGCAACGCAAAGGGCAGCAGGCACCAGTTGCAATCATTTTTAAAATGTATTTCCTTTCGTGGGTAAACTAGCACAACTATGCTAGGTTACTTGCTTTTTGTGTGAGTGGGAGAAGATGGGATAGATAAAAAAGAAAAACTTTAAAAGGCAATTTTAAAAAACGATGCCATGGATACTAGGCTATTTTAGAATTAGTAATATTGGGGGTTGCACCTCTTGCAGTGTTACTTTAATTAATTATTGATTGGGGGCCATCGCCTAGAAGTGCCCAATGTTAGTAGCTCCAACCCCGTTGGGGAAAAGCAGTGAAAGCGTTTTACTCCGTTTTGAAGAGGTTTGAATAACAGGGGACTCTTCCCTCCATGTCCCTCCTGTGCCTGTGTTCTAAAGATGCCTATCTTTAGAGGTAAAAGCAAAGAGGTTTGCTTTTCCAATTCTCAGAAGATCTGGTGGTGGAAGTCTCCATCCTTACAGTAATGAAGATGCTGTATCTGTCTGGTATGCAATCTTTCACAGCGGTTAATAGCGTGATGGGAATAGCTGGAAAAGGTTTTGCCCTCGCAGTCTTTAAAAGATTCGAGACCCTTAAGGGAGGAAAGTAACCCATTAAATCGGTGTTTCTCAACCTTGGCAATTTTAAGAAGTGTGAGCTTTAACTCCTACAATTCATCCTGCTGAGTTGCCAAGGTTGAGAAACGTATGAAATATAGCGCAGTGAGCGAGGTAGGTCGCAAGTGCCGTTCTAGCCAATAGAGTCTATAGTTCCCCGCGATTAAAAAAAACAAAAAACAAAAGAACCGCTCTAGCTTTATTGTCCCGGAAATGATTTAGCAAGAACTGGTGCCTGGAAGTTCATAGTATCAGTTTCTCACGGGGGACCCTTCCGGCTTGGTTCCCTTCATTTCCTGTAAGACTTAGGGCGAGCGCCTCCTCGCAGAATGCAAACTCTATCGTTTTAACTCTTGGCTGTCAGATTCACCTGAGCGGTGAATTGCATAGTGTAATTTCCTTCGCAGAAAACTGTAGGGGAGCTGCTTGAGAATAACTCCTGTTAATACTGAAGGGGATTTCGAACAAGATAAATGGTTGGCAATCTCTTCTCCGTAAGGCTGCTAAACCGAGTGGCGGCAAATTTGAAAAAAATGGTAGGCTTTTAAGGCGCAGGTCTTTGTCTCGCTCGTTTCGTAAGTGTGATACATGACTTGCTGTCATATGCAACAGTAATGTAGCAATGTTGTGGAATTCTAAGAGGTCCAAGAGGAATAGCAGGCAATTAACTGTGAGATGGGACATCTTCCTACATTGCTATTTTTTTTTTCAAATCGGCAAACTCTAATGCATACCGTAGATCAAGCCTTTGAACGTGTACATTCTTGCTTTTTCTTTAAAGTCATCAAATACGAAGGATGATGTCCTCCAAGACAAACGTAGCAAGATCATGGCTAGAGGGCTTCCGAAACAAAAGCCGATTGAAGGAGTTAAGCAAGTGCTGCTTGTAGCTTCTGGTAAAGGGGGCGTAGGAAAGTCCACAACGGCTGGTAAGTCATTGGTATTATATTAGGAATATGGTATGTGCATATCTGTATTTATCGTTTTAATGTATGCATTCCATTTATTATTACTATAATTATTACATTTCCCTGTCTTGTGTGTGTGTGTGTGTGTGTGTAAGGGTATGTGTAAAGGTAAGTAGAACCCACCCCTGATTCATACACATATTCATGCATGCATACGCACACACACACATATACACACATATGTATACATAATCATACATACACATATGCATGCATACACACACATACACACATCATACATACATAACATTCATAAACATGCATGCATACACGCATGTGTGTGCATACATAACATTCATACATACACACATATGTTACTCAAGGCAGCAAATTATACAGAAATAGCATTATCAAAAGAACTAGTTTTTTAAAGGTTAATTAAGATGTTCAGTCTTGAAGAAGAACCTTTTCCCCCCTGATTTATCCAATAATCCACTTGCCAGCTGTATTGGGTTGCTGACTCTCTAATGCCCAACAAATACTTTGTCTTCTGTAACTTGCCTTATTTCCTGGCCTAAAGATTAGGAAGAAGGAGAAAAAGATCTAGGGTCAGACTGCAGATAAATAGCACCCTAACTGAAAAGAATTCACTATTTCTTCTTATCCCCTCAGTAAATTTTGGAATGTTGCTTTCCAAGCAGCATCCATGGAACAGGGTAAGGAAACTATACAAAGCTTGAAGTCTGGAAGTTTTTCCAGCCCTTTTTTGAACAGTGCCATAGGGATCCTTAAGGTGGTGTATATGTGTGTGCATGCGTTTTTCATTCCAGAGATTAATCAGAGCAGAGGCATATAACTTTCTTGTGTATGGAGTTTATGTAAGTATGAGAGTCTGACAAGAATGAATACATGTGTTTTGTGTCTGTGCATGGGGAAGGTGTTTGTTCTTTTCTTGTGTTGAGTTTCTGTCTGTGTTCACAGGAAAGCATATGGAGGGCTGTGTATGTTCTGTGTTGTGTCATGTGTTCAGTAAGGAAAGGAGAAGTCTCTGCTCTCCAACATCTTTCCTTAGGAATGAATTAGGGAAATATTTTCAAGAATGTTTTTCTCTGCGAGACATCTGGGTAAGACGAAGGACCGAAGATAGCTCTGCTTTTAATGGAGCTGACCACAGCAGAATGAATAGCTAGCAAGTAGACTGAGCCTTTGTAATTTTTCTTCAGACAAGGGAGGACTTGAGTTCACCCATAAATGCTCCAGACAGTTTCTTCTGGCGAGGAGTCACAAGACAGCATTTTCCAGTTGGTTAGAGCTCTGCAAGTTGAGGAAATCACCATCTGGTTCAAACCATGGTTGGTGCTTTAAAAGGACACTTAAGTTCTTCTACTTCCTTTTCTAATCACTTATGGAAATTGTTCACTGCCTTTTCAGCAATTAGGAATCTTTAGATCAACATGCTTTAAACTACCAATAATTTCCCTCAATCTCAGCAAAAGAAGTTTTAACTAAGTACAGGTAGTGCTTGATTTATGACCAAAATTGGCACTGCAATTTCAGTCACTAAGTGATGCACTTATTAAGGAAGTCATGATGTGACTGGCCCTGATTTTATAACCTTTTTACAGTAGTTGCTAAATAAATCACTGCGGTAGTTAAATGAGTAACATAATTATTAAGTGAATCATGCTCTCGTGAAGCAAATCCATCTTCCTTCAATTTTGTTTGCTTGGCGGAAGTTGGATAGGAAGGTCACAAATCACAATCATGTGACTGCAAGATGCAGCAACTATCATAAATGCAAACCTGTGGCCAAGTGTCCAAATTGTGATACCTGACTGTGAGGATGGTTGAATGTCATCACTTCAAGGACAGGTTGTAAATTACTTTTTCCTAGGGTGTCGTAATTTTGAACTATCATTAAATGGTTGTAAGTCAAGGGCTACCTATAGAAAAACTGAATAACATTTTTTTCAAATAAACCACAAAAGGTTGATTAAAAATTTGATTTTAGAAAGTTAAAGAATTTGGAAATAAGAATTTGGAATTAATGACAATTCCAAAATTATAATTTTCTGTAGGAGAATGTTTTGGATTATGTAATTTAATTATTTAGAAAAAAACATAATAAATAAGACTTCAGAAATTGGATATTAGAGGGATCAAGGAGGAAATAAAAATTATATTTAAAGGAGAAGTGAAATTAAATTTGATTCACTAATACAGAATGAAGCAAACTATTTTAAAACATCAGACATATTGGATATTTTTGAACAATGAACCCAGAAGAGTTGTTCTCTCTACAGATAATGTTTAAAAGATGCTATGAAATAGAATCAATTTTGCCTGACAAGATTGAGATTGATCTGAAAGTGGATTTAAAAGTGATAGGTTACAAGAATGATTTGGAAAAAGATGTTATAATGGACATACAAAAGAAACCAGCTGATGTCTTAATAATTAAAAGGCATATACACCGACCAGTTCGTTGTCACAGGGAGGGACTACTCAGGGTACCATCAGTCAAATTATGACGACTGGCGACTCCCAGAGGGAGGGCCTTCGCTGTGAGGGCTCCAACCCTTTGGAATGAACTGCTCCCTGAGATACAAAATATCCCTGATCTCCGTGCTTTCCGCTGTGCCCTCAAAACCTGATGTTCCAACAGGCGGGGCTAAACATATGAACATGTGAATGTTTTTAAATGTTATCTAATTTTAGGTTCTATTTAATTGGGCCAAACTATGTTATAATAATAATTTTAATTAGCAATTTTATGATGTTTGTGTATCTATATTTTTCTTGACTGTACACCGCCTTGAGTCCTACAGGAGAAAGGCGGTATAGAAATATAATAAATAAATAAATAAATAAATATACAAATAATAAGAGAGTGACCTGGATAATTTTCCTATATTGGATTTATAAAAAAGATTTATTAAACTTTGAAGAATTTTGTGAGAAGTATAGTTGAGGAGTGCTTGGGGGCAGAATCAAGAGAGAAATCAATCGAGTCATTATGTTCCATTCCAAATCTACCCTCTCCTTGAATTCCATTAATTCTTATCCAGCACCAATTTAGTGCTGATCATTAGTTGACCATTAGATTCTTGTGTATAGGCTTGAGCAATCAATCTTAACAGGAATTTAAAATGTGATCCTGATTCTTCGCGCCTGACAGAAGGGGCAAATCAAAAATCAAAAATCAAGTTTTAGGATATTATTTAAGAGGCTAAAGATTGAGAATTTTAGAGAAAGGAATGAAAAGTTGGTTTATTTGATCAAGGTTAGAATAGATATGTTATCTCTGGTAATTTTGCTGACCTCAAAATTAAAACGACTGGATTTTTTATAGACAAGAGATGTGATATGGTAAAAACAGATAATTTATTGTATTTTAAGAGAATATGATAAGTTATTAAAATTGTTTATATATGTTAGGATGAAGGGGGAAATCAATTTATACATTTCCTTTTCTTTATACTCTATTTTTTTCTTTCTCTTTTTTTTCTTTGCACCTTTTATTCCTTCTTTTTGTTTTAATTTGTATTAGTTTTTATTGTTGTAAATTGTATTTTATAAAAAATAAAATGGTTTGTTAAATACATACTTTTCTCTGCCACTTGCAGATGGATTTGACCAATTTTCCAAACAGAACTTTTTTTGGCTCCCCCTCCCCCAAATTTGGTCCTTTTCTGTTGCCAGAGACTTACAGTATTCTGCTAATGGACAGACAAGCAAAGCCCAAACTCATTTCCATAATTTCTTTTTAACATTCCAAGTTTAAAGCTAATTCAGTCTGCTGTTTTATTGCCAATGATTGCCTCCTTCAATTTCATGAACTCTTTAGAGTTGCAGCTTTTTTTATTCCAAATAATTTTTCCTTTGTTCTTCTCCAGTGCTAGATTTAATTCAAAAAGCCTAGGTTGGCATCCAGCTCCCTGGAAATCTGCCTTCACCCACCTCAGTCATCCTTTGGGTTATATCCCACTTTTGGTAAAATAAGGGAAATGAAGGCCAGGAAGTCCTTTTTCTCAGTTATTACAGCCTCGTTTCTCCAGCCTTACAAAATAGACTCCCCTAGAATTAATATTCACACCATCTGTCTTAACTTTTGGAGAGGTACTGTAATTTTTGGAGTATAAGACACACTTTCCCCCCCCCCTAAAAGAGGGTGAAAATTTGGATGTGTCTTATACACCAAATGTAGTCCCACCCTTCGGCCGTTTTCAGCCTCTGCGGGTCAGGTTTTCGGCCTCTGCCCGCTGTTTTAGGCCTGTTCCAGGTTGCGGGGATCGCCACAGTCATTCGAATGACAAGTGAATTGCCACCACTTTTTAATTTTGAATTGTTGTATTTAATCTTTGATTTATAATTTGGTTTATGTTAATTATTAATCGTGTAGTTGTATTGCAAATCATCATGAGACTTTATTGATTTTATGCTCTACAAATGAGAATTAAGATCCCATGCAGTCTTTGGGTGTCATAACACGTTCCCCATCCTGACTTAAAATGTGCAGATTATGGTTTCCAAGGTATTATTTCCAGCATTCTTGTCTCTGGATTACAATAACTACAGCTCAGTGATTCATTGCCCAGATTTTTTTTTTAAATTATAGCTCAGCAATGTAGACACATTCCTTCTATTGATTGAAGTTTTCATGTTAACGTTGCAAGAATTTTGATAAATTCTTTTTCTTTCTTTTTCAGTAAATGTAGCCCTTGCATTGGCAGCAAATGAACCGGTAAGTGACCACTGAAGGTTTGTTTCAGGTATTAATAAGACATATTACTAGCTTCTCTTTATGGATAGATTTAAACCAATTGCAATACTGTGATTTCAGTAGGTGGTTTTAGATAATAAAGGTTAAATTCTTTTCCCCTCCGGGATTCTTTGAATAAAAATGCTGAAGTAAATATGAAAATTATTATTTCGAATTGCAGCATCAATATTGCATAGGTACTATGAAGCACTACACACTGGGGAGCAATAAAATGTAGTTAGAATTAAGATTTAATTTTACAATTTGATGCATGCATATATCCCCTTGTATTGTTGTTGTTGTTAGTTGCAAAGTCGTGTCCGACCCACCGCAACCCCATGGACAACGTTCCTCCAGGCTTTCCTGTCCTCTACCATCCTCTGGAGTCCATTTAAGATCACGCCTACTGCTTCAGTGACTCCATCCAGCCACTTCATTCTCTGTCGTCCCCTTCTTCTTTTGCCCTCAATCGTTCCCAGCATTAGGCTCTTCTCCAGTGAGTCCTTCCTTCTCATTAGGTGGCCAAAGTATTTGAGTTTCATCTTCAGGATCTGGCCTTCTAAAGAGCAGTCAGGGTTGATCTCCTCTAGGACTGACCGGTTTGATTGCCTTGCAATCCAAGGGACTCGCAGGAGTCTTCTCCAGCAGTTCAAAGGCCTCAATTCTTTGGTGCTCAGCCTTTCTTATGGTCCAACTTTCCCTTGTATCCCCTTGTATATCCCCTTGTATCCCCTTGTATAGAATCGTAGGATAAGAAGGGTCCTTGGAGATCTTCTAGTCCAAGCCCCTGCCCAAGGCAGGAATCCTGTAGTATCTCAGACAAATTGTTGTCCTATCTTTTCTTGAAAACCTTCCAGTAATGGAGCACCCATAGCTCCAGGAGGTAAGATGTTCCACTGATTAATAGTCTTTGCTGTCAGGAAATTCCTCATTTCCAGGCTGGATCTCCTTCTGATGAGCTTCCAAGCATTACTACTTGTCCTATCCTCAGGTGCTATGGAGAAAAATTGATTCCCTCTTCCCTGTGCCGGCCCTTCAAGTATTGGAAGACTGCTATCATGCCTTCCTTCAGTCTTCTCTTTGTTAAGTTAAATCAGGGGTCCCCAAACTTGGCAGCTTTAAGACTTGTGGACTTCAACTCCATAGCTGGGTGGAGAATTCTGGGAGTTGAAGTCCACAAGTCTTAAAGCTGCCAAGTTTGAAGACCTCTGAGCTAAACATACCTAGTTCCTTTAGCTGTTCATCTTTGTTGTTGTTCAGTTCTTCTCTGTACTCTTTCTAGGGCCTTAGCATCTTTCTTGTATTGTGGTGAGGAGAACTGGACTCAGTATTCTAAATGGGAACTCACCAGTGCAGTACAGTGCAGTACACCAGTATTCCTGTGCAAAGGTCAGGATGAGGATTACCTAATTTGAAATTTGTGGAGGGAAAGTAAATATGAACTGTCAGCATGGTGTGATAATAAAAAAAGAAAAATGCTATTTTTAATTTGCATCAATAGATTATAATTTAAAAATCCTGGGAAGTAATACAGTTTCATTTTAATTCAGTCACCTCAATGAATGTGTCTAATTCCAGTTTCAGAGAAGATAGTACAGCTTCAGAGAAGGATGGTAAGGATTATGATGGATCTAAAAGTTAAGTTCTGTGAAGAAAGGTTAAAGGAGCTTGGAATGTCTAGCCTTGAGAAGATGCAGAGGAGATAAGAAAACAGTCTTCAAATACTTGAACAAATGTCATGCAGAAGGAAATCATGATCTGTTCTACCATTCTAGAGCAGGACATAGAATAATATATTTAAGTTAGATGAAGATATATTCATGTATTTGTTTGATTTGTATCTCATCTTTCTTTTATGAGCCCAAGGTGTCCTATGTTTTTCTCCATAAAACAATTCTTTTGAGGCAATGCTACAGTCTGATAATAGAAGTAAATGCTCAGTGGCTTCCTTTCACTGGATTCAAATGAAGCCAACTTCAGTTTGACAGGGATGCATTAATGTGGATTCCTGCACTGAGCAGTTTATGAGACTTTATGGATCTAATGCTATGGTGTCTTCCAACTTAAATATATTACATTACATACAATGTAATATCATCCCTTTTTAGATTTTATTTAGTGTATGGTAGTGAAATGAAATCTCTGCACATGGAGTAAATTTTTTGTAATTTACGTATTTTTGTAATTTCTCCTTGAGGGGAGAAGTTTCAACTTTTCGCCTCAAGACGCCGCTAATAGAGCATTACATGCAAAAACAATTAGACACAAATATAGTTTCTTCCCCCATGCCATCACTCTGCTAAACACCTAACTCCCACAGCACTGTCTTACACCTAAAGATACTTACCCATGTAGTAGGCTGTATTGCTATTATCCTTGTCATCTTCTTATCTTTTCCATCTTTTTATCTTCTCATCATTCTCATTGCTCATCTTTCCTACTATGTTCTCCTATTGGTATATTATGATTTATCAATTGTTTGTATCTTATGATTTATGCTCCATGACTTATCACTTTGTTGTTTATATGTACACTGAGAGCTTATGCACCTGAAACTCCGCCCTGAGTCTTCGAAGAGGTGCGGCATACAAATTGAATTAATAAATAAATAAATGAATTAATAAATAAATTCCTTTTATGTCCAATCATACTGGGCCAATAAAGCTATTCTATTCTATTCTATTCTATTCTATCCTATCCTATCCTATCCTATCCTATCCTATCCTATCCTATCCTATCCTATCCTATCCATTTTATAATGTGCTAATCCTCTTAGAAAATAAGCATAAAATTGAGATTGATAAAGTTTACAAAGCATTGTGCAGATACTGAAGGTATTTGCATGTCTCTAAAGACATGTCTCTGAAGACAGCAGGCATTATATTATCTTCCTTTTTAGTCAATTGTAATTTTTCTGATAACAGATTTTTTTTTTTTAAAAAAAAACCCTTTCAAATGGCAGTAGTCAGGTCTGTTCCCCTAGGAAACATCTAAAGAGTTCTAAGCTCTTCTACTAGGCTGACAGGCATTCATCCTAGGTTGAGTATTTAATGAAAATATAATAACCACAATTTATTGTAGCAGAAGCAATTCAAATTAATAGAAACCAACTACAATACATCAAGATTTCTTGTTTATGAAGAGGGTGTTTTAGTGAGGAAATACCAGCTGTGTGTGTGACTAAAGGTGGCACAGATCCAGTTGAGAAACTATGCTTATGCTGTCACCATAAGGGGGGGGGGGGTTCTTTAAAAATTGCTTTTATCAAGGAAAGCTATGATGCTAACCATCAGTTTTGTATGAATTATAGCAAAAGGGAATAATCTTGTTTGGTGGTGAAAGAAAGGATTGCTGTTAATTTGCAGTTAGCACATTTTGTGTGAATATAAAAAAGGACACCAAGTCAAATAAAAATAAATAAGGAGCCACTTAAATGAATACACTGTTTTGTCCACTGGGCTATTTATTTATGTTTCAGCTGTTTCGCTTCTTTGAAATGGTGCATGAACTATATTTAAAAAGCATATAATAAAACCACCAAAAACAGCAAAGATCTAAAAAAGCAAACAATTGTAATAATAATAATACCCCTTCCCAAGTCCTATTATATTGCCTCATTGTGGTGGAGGGGGGTATGGCAGTCGTAGGAGGGATAAGCAAAAAATGCTAGATCTCCATACCGAGAATATATACTACCTGCAAGGTAACCCAAGGCCTGAAGATCTTCCCTGCTGCCCAACTAAAGCAAATAGGCATTTATACTGAGCAGCAGAAATATAGGAAGATGAGGAAGATGGATAATCACTAATGTAACAATAGAAAGTCATCACTTCATATTGTGGCAGGCGAAAGCAATGATGATCACTTTTGCATTTTACCAAGAAAATCACATAGATAAATAAAGTAAAATGATTGACAATAATGTGCCAGCGAATGGGCATCTCAGGTCACTCAACTTGCTAATGAGTGACTATTGAAGATCTTTTAGGGTACTAAAGGTATTTTATAATATGGATGTTTATAGACTTCGGGACGTCTACTTCCTGACGTCATGCAAGAAAAAAAAATCTAAAGTTATAAAGACAGAATTATAATGGGAATATGGAACATGGGAAACCTTAATAGACTGAAAGATGAAATAAATCAGCTATTCATTGAATGTAAACATCAGCAAAATAAAATGGACTGGAATTGAACACTTTTGCTAGAAGATCATACTGTTTTACTATGAGGAACACAAAGAACTGGAAAGGAAGGTTATTGTTTTCATAATAAGGAAGGATATACCAAAGCATTGGATACAAAGCAGTCATTGACAATCCCAATTAGACTTTGTGGACAATTCTTTAGTGTGATGATTGTTGATGTTTATGCACCACACTGATGTAAAAGTGAAGACTGGTGAATTTTATGTTCAAGTTCAGTCTGAAATCAACCAAACATGTAAAGTATACTGATTATGTCTGAAGACTGGAATGTAAAATTTAGAAATTAGAAATAGTAAGGAAGAAAATGAAGTTGAACTCTATGACTTAGGAAAATGAAATGAAACAGGAGAATAAGTTATTGATTTCTGGCAATTAAATGATTTCTTCATTGCTAACACATTTTTCAAATAACCAAAATGAGCCTATATTTATGGACATTACCTCATGGACCACACAGAAATCAGCTGGATTGTATTATTGGTACAAAGAGATGGAAGAGTCCAGCAAAAGCAGCAAAGAGAGAGTTGGCAACTGTCTATAGAACATACAGTATCATAAACTGCCCATGTTCAAGTTCCAAGTCAAGCTAAACAGAAAGAACAAAACCAACTAGTTTCCATAATACGACGATGAAGATAAACCTGCAGTTTTCAAGATGAATGCCAGGAATTGTTTTGAATTCTTGAAACTCACTAATTGGGAACCAGAGGAGCTTTGAAATCTCATCAAACAAGTTATAAGAGGATATATGTAGCTCAGGGTTGAACTGAGAGA